TTAATGCGTTCTTTGTCTCCGCCCCCGCCCCCGCCGTCTTATTTAAATGAAAATATTTGTGTGATATTTATATATGCATTTTTATACATTTCATTACTGTTTCGTTCAAATAACATGATAAAATTCAATTTAGAAATTTATGAATATATAGGTATGCGTGGGCACAACAATTGGGAAATAATTGGAGCACAACAAAAAATATATAAATTAAGTTCATAAGATGATCGCAAAATCATATATGAAAAGAGCGAATACAAACGAAAAATTAAGCCAAAAAAATTAAAATAAATAGAAAAAAGGAAAACGCGTTACAAAAACAAAAAAAAAATAATTATAAATTATAAAATGTTAAATGCATTTACAGAAAAGTATTATTAATATAATAAAAAAAATATTTCCATGAGATATGTATGCCATATGTATGTATGTATTTGCATTTGTAAACAAAATATATATTTCATATAATTTTTATTTATATTTATTTATTATTATAGTTTTCAATTAAGCTCTGCAGCATAAATTATTTTACACCATCAGCACTTGAATCAGTAGAAAAATACTCTGGCCATAAAATCTGCGTTCAGTTTTAAAGCAAACTGCCTACCCATACATTACTGTTTTTTTTTGCATATACACATATGTATGTACACCCATAGATAAGTATTAAAATATCTACTTTGTAGCAAAGTGAAAATCTTCTCGTCTAACATATTTGCCAGCACAAATGATTGTGTGTGTGTTTCGTGTTTTGTGTAATGTCTTATTCTATGCTGCGTATATTTTATTTAATTTTAGTTTCTGTAGATATTTACGTACATACATGCATCTGTATATACAAATTTATTTTCATTAAAGCGTCGCACGGCCATTACGGTGTTCTGGTGGTATTTTTGGGTGACACGCAGTCGCCGATGCTAGACGCTTGGCGGACGCACGATCACTTCACGTGATTCATACATGATATGTTAGTATATATGCATGTAGCTGGGCCGAGTGGGGTGGTATGTACATATGTATGCATGTGTAATTTAATGTAAATATAGACTACATACATACATACGTACATGATATGTGTGTTTGTGCAATTTTTTTGAAACATACAAAGTGATCTTCGCTGTTTTCTTATTTATTTGTGTCTTTTTTTAAATTTCTTTTTTTTTTATACACTCAAAGTGTCGCGTTTATGTCGAGTTACACAGCGTGTTTGTTGTAAAAAGCGAATTTGTTGCTTTTGCTATTTAATTTTTCATACAGAAATATTTCTTATTTATTTCATCTTTGTTTTTTTTTTTTTCAATTGATAATTATGTATGAAGTATGAGAAGTGGTAACCATAACATTGGCGTTTAACCTTGCGACAGGCAAACATATATACATATGTATGTACGAGTATGTATGTACATGAGTAGCTGGGACAAAATATAATGAGTGACTTAAAATAAAATAGAATATGAAATAAAATGATATGAGATAAAATAAAATTAAATGAAGTTAAATAATTTAAAATCATATGAAATGTAACGAGATAAAATAAACTCAATTAAAAAAAAAAATTTTATTCAAAAAAATAATAATTAAAGTAAATAATAAAATAGATAAATTAATATAAAAAATATGTAAAAAAATAAAATAAGATAAGAAAATAAAACAAAACAAAACGTAGTAATGGTATTAAATAAAATAAAATAATTTAATATAAAAATTTAATTCAATTAAAACGAAATTAAATTAAGTAAAATACATAAATATCAAATAAAAAATTAATTGCATTATATATATAAGAACTAAAATCTCTATCGATAGGTTTAACTCTTATTTTATGCTACTGACAAATTTTAAGAGAGCATTTTCTCACACACACACCAATTGCTAAAAATAAAATATTATATATTTATGTATGTACGTCAATGATTAAAGAAAATTGGGACAACGTTACCGCGAAGCATGAAAATCCCATTAATGACACGTTAATATTGCAAAACTTGACGTAAATTGTGATTTATGCGAAAAATTGAAATTCGTTGAAATCAATTTATAAACACGGCCAGCATATGTACATACGTATGTATGTAAGTATGTTTGAGTATATGGCGGATGCAGATGAACTCCATTAATTTCGATTTATTAATAGAAACATGTTCGCAAATACACTCATTAGTATATATGTATTCGCGTATGAACATATATTTGTACATACATATGTTTACAGAGCATATACATACACGTACGTAGTTTTCTACCGCTATTTTCATAAACCATATTTGAATTACATAGAAACAATTCCTCATAGCCTTCAATCCAGTTATAAACATACATACTCGTATATACATCTCAGGCAGTAAAAATACAAGTTATCAGCTCGTCATTTAGACAAAATAAATTAATAAAACTGTAATCATGTATGACGTTTATCTGTGCGAAAGCTAGTTGGAGCATAAATTCTGATTGCAGCGGATTGTCAGTATGTACTTGTATATAGAGATATGTATATCTATATGTACATTTGTATATATGTAAAAGTTGTCTGAAAGTATTACATATGACAAAAGCATATTTACGCGTACATGAGTATATACATATAAATAATTGTTTTGACTGTGCGATAGTACACGTGTGAATATGTAAGTATATATATGTATATACATATATATGGTTTTCCACTTGTAAGAGAGTATTACAATGCAATTGGACGGACAAGTAGATTAAATTGAACGTATGAAATAAAATAAAATAAAATCGAATAAACAAATGTAAAAACAAATAAGATAAATTAATTAGAATAAAATAAAATAAAATAAAATAAAATAAGATAAAATAAAAATAATTCCAAAATGGAATAAAATTAAAAAAATAATAGTAAAAAAAAACAAAATAAAATTAAATAAAATAACAAAAATATTAAGATAAAGTTAAATATTATTTTAAAAAAAATAAAAAAATAAAAATAAAATAAAACAAAATAAAATAGAATAAAATTAAATCAAATAAATAATAGTAATATAAAATAAAAGTAAATAAAATGAAATGAAAAACGAAAATAACTCAAAGTTAAAACTAGAATAAATCATAAATAAATGCAAACATAAACCCTATATGCACTAATATACGAGTACTGGTATGTAGACGTATACGAATGTTTTGTATTTCATTTTCGAAACTGTGTAATAATCTTTGTAATTAATCGCTTTAAATGCCTTTAAGTGAGTGCTGATGTACGAGCTCATTAACAAATCTTGTCATTGATATAAAAAAGTGACCGCAGTTTGGTGTGAGTTCAATAATGAGCGTTGAGCAGAAGCAAACATTTTTTTATATATACTTAATTGTTATTTAATTATCGTTTCAGGTTATCTCGCCGGTCCTTACTGATTATATTACATAAACTCACTCAGATCAAAAAAAATATATGAATAATATTTTCTGAAATTTATTCAATATTTATCTAACTGAATTTTTGCATATTACATATGTATACACTAACATTATTTTCTTTTTTACTTATCTATTTTCGTTTACAATTCACGTACGGAAATAGAGATTTTACGATATAGAAAATATGTAAAAAAAAATAGAATACTTATATAATGCAAAATAAGATTTTAAATTCTCTAAATGAAATTTTCTCACCCTGTCAATTTCCAAGAAATTTCATAACACAAAAATCTGCGAAACAAAGATTGACAACATTGGCCGGGAAGGCCGCATGAAAAATTTACAAACCTAAAAATAGACACTAGACATCCGTGACTTTACAGAGAAAGGAAATTATGAAAATAATAATTAAATAAGAAAATAAAATAAATTCTGGCATTTTCAACACATTGAAATAATGTATTGACTCAGCGAAGCGGCGAATGCCGAACACAGAGTGAAAACAAGAGAAAATTACGCCTGACGAGAGCGAGCAAAAGTAACGAGTAAGTGAAAGCGACCTTCCGATTTCATTTATAGACACAATTTATCTACTTTATTTGTTATTATTATTTTTTTGAATAAGTCGTATTAACCATTTTCTTATATTAATGTCTGTTCAAAGCGGAAAACGGCTGCTGATTGACGCAAAGCTGACACACTTTTTACATATTCAGCAATGGCATTCCGCGTGCAGACTAATCGCCTAAATGACAACTTTCGAATTTTTAAATAAACAAATCTGTAACACTGAAATTACACGGAATCGCTCATAAGGAAAAAATAGTTAGCTATGTGTGTTTAAAGCCAAAAGGGCAATATCTAGACAAGTTTGAATTGATATTTGTTGATATATACATTTATATATGTAGTTATGTACGCCTATGTTAAATATATATCGTCTGAATATCATATCGCATTTGGTTTTATTTCCAATTTTGCGGGAAATGTAATAACGTCACCAACGCCTCCATCTCCGGCAACGCTTGTACCGCCCCAGTCTCTAGTTATGGCTTTGCGTCAAACTATTTTAACGCTCGTGCATAAGGCAAACATTTATACAAATTGCGGTGAGGCATACAGACGCCGTACGGGCATATGTACAAATACAATCACATTGTATAAAAATAGCTAAAATGATTTATATATTCCCGAGCACGACAACTGAAGACCGGCGCATATTTATCTATCGAAAACCGACTGTCAAATGCCATAGCGCCAAGTCTGCGGTGTCGTATTACCGTTATTGTAGCGCTTAACCAACGAGTTGCTACACCGCAGTGTTGCAAATGTAGCGCACGACGCGGGCGCAATACTTTTGTGAGTCTCAATGCTTCGAGTAAGCTGGAATGTAATGCCATACTCGGCTGTTGAGGCCTATGGCCCTACGTGGCGTATGAGTAACCGTCAAATAAGTTAAAAAAAAGATGGTAGAAGAATATGTATGTATATCTTAGCATCATATCACAACACACAAAAGACAACAACAATTAAAAAAAAAAATAAATAAAAACTAATATTTTGTAATATAAATTATATTTACATATATATAAATATATGTATACTCTGTTTCTGCTTGGTCCACTCACCTTTGTCCACTACATTTGCAATTCACGCAGTCCACCTCTACACCCGCCGCATCGCTGTTGCGACTATCACCGCTGCTGCTGCTGCTGCTGCTGTTCGCTGAATGATGTAGGCAGGATTTGCGGCTGAGGCAAGATTTCGGCTGCAACTGTATGACGGGTGCGGAGAGTGCACGCGGCAAACCGCCAATGACACGCCCCTCACGGCTATTGATGCTGCCAGCAGTGACTGTGATGGGCAGACGCGTTTGCTGCTGCTGCTGCTGTTGTTGGTATGGTGACGTGTTGTTATTGTACAGCGACTGCTGGTACTGCTGCTGTGATTGATTGTGTGTCTGCTGGTTTAGCTGCTGATGGTTGGCGAAAGCGACGGCCGCACTATTGGCCATGGCCTTCGAAGCGAGTGTGATCACTTGAGGGCGACAGTAACGTGACGCTCTGTTTGTTTCGTCATTGTAACTGGAAGTGGAAGAGCGGAGAGCAGAGTGATGATTTCAGTTTGTATTTATAGAATAAATAAAAATTCTGCTAAGAACAGATTTATAGAGATAATAAAAGAATTTGAGGCTGTTTGTATTTGAAATTCCATACATTCAAATGGAAAATAAATTTTTCAGGCAGTTGTGGGAAAAAATATTGAAAAAAAAGTAAAAAAAAAAATAAAAAAAAAATTAAAATGAAATAGCTTAAGCATTTAACTTCTTTAATTCGCTATTAATTTAAATTTTTCATATAATGGGATTTAATTAACTTCCTTAAACTGTGATTTCAAAATATTCGGTCATATTTAATAAAAATTTTTTTTTTTTTTTAAATTCCATTCCTGCTGTTCAAAAATAAAAATAAACTTTCCGAAAAGTGTTGAGGTCATAAAATTTTTACGCATTTAACAAAAATGAGGCGTTCGGGTAGCTACATTTTCGACAACCAAGAAACTGGCAAGGGACACCTGAAGTATGACACATTTTTCTTTATAAAAAATAAATTCAAAAATAAATAAACTATAGAATAATAAGCGCCTAAAAATTAAGAATATAAATATAATGATAAAGTGAAAATAAAGAGTAATAAGAATTCGAAATATTTTGAGCACATTTTTTGGCTGAAATTATGCTCCTGCACACTTTACTGAAGAAAATTTAACATCTTAAACACTGTTAGCATTATAAATTTGCTGCGCGTGTTGTCATTAGCTGTTAGTCCATCCCCCGCAAAAGACCAAAATCTAGACATTGAAAAATTTACAAACACACACACACACACACTGACACAGTTATACAGCACACAGAATTATCAAAACAAATATATAAAAAAGCTGTGTGGAAAATAATGTGAGAGAATAAAGAAAAAAAGAGCTCAAAAGTAAAGCAATAAAAGCAGGAGCTAAATAAGTAGGAACGTAGTTCCCGAAAATAAATTAAATTAGCCCGTGGGTGCGCAAAGCGTAAACAAAATTTTCCTATTCTTTTTTTGAATGGTCAGTGACGTACGATATGTTTGTATGTTGCTATGTCTGCGTGCCAGAAGATTTATCATAAATTAATAGTGCTTTTGCCTACGTTGATAAACTTAGTGAATAAAAGTGTAAAACAAAAAAGAAAAGAAAAGAATAACAATAATAAAAGAATCAGGCGATGATCGCGATAACATAGTTTGCAAAAATAGTTTGTTTATATGTATGTTTGTATTTTAAGCGGGGTTCCATAGCAACGACACAACAAAAAAAACTGCGAAAGTACTAAAATGTTGCTAGTTCTCTTTTTGTTTTGTTTTGTTTTTTTTTCACTTTATCAGCGTGTAAATGACTGGACAAAGAGGCGGGTTTTTTGTTCTGGAATTTTTTTAAATGGAAAACTTTTAATTTTCATATGACATTGCGCGTGTAAAGGTATATCTATGACCGTAAAGATTTTGAAAGTAGTAATAATGTAGCTATTAGGTTTTTACTTTTAAATGAATTATTTTAATTATTTTTGTTTCATAAAAGAAATTGTAGCATACTTTTAGGGGTGCTTCAAATATAATTTCTGACTTTTTAGATTTTTTAATATTTCTTTTTTAAATTGAATGCAAAAATAAATTTAAAACTTTAAATTTGTGTTAATAAACTCATTCGTATGTATGTTTTACACAATGTCAGCGCCAAGGCAATTCATATTTTGACATACAAAAACGTCTTCGCTACATTTTTTTTTGCCAAAATTAATGCTTTATAACCTTCGTTCTGTGAGTAATTCGGCGTAATTATTCTAGAGTGCACTCGTAACTCACTTAAAAAACGATTTTTTAATGGAGCGTGCTGTATTTCATTTTTATGTCTTTTTGTTGTTACTTTTTACAAGCATTTCACGCACAGCTGCTGCGAAGCTCTGTTAAGAAGTGCTAATTGAGAATTTGTTTAAACAAATTTTTCTACTTATAACTTTGTGTTATATATGTCTTATGTATATACATATGTATACATATAAAAAGAGCTTTGTAATAATTAACGCAAATTGACAGCTGCCCGATTTACAACTCAATATCTCGCTAGACTCCCTCATTGATTGCCAACTGGTTAATTGTTTAATAATACAATTTAAATAGTAAATGTTTGCCTGGAATTTCACCGAAATTTATTTATTTACTATAATTTTTTAATATTGACTAAAAATATACATATTTGGCAGCTTTGTATGCACAGATACATACATATATGCAAAGTTAGCACCGATTCGCTAATTTGGACTTTTTTTTGGCATTTTAAAATAGTAAATATGCATGCTCTATGTAAATATGTTTGGTACTTTGTGAAGTCTTAAAAGCAAAAAAAAAAAAGAAATCAACTTAAGTGTCAACACTCAACGGCAAAATTTAGGATTTTTTGTTTAAGTTATGTGTGTACGTATATTTATTTGTCTTTTGCTTGAGTCGCTTTTGTTTACATGCATTTTTAATAAAACATATATTATATATTTATTTCTAACTTTAAGCAAAGGCAAGGAGATATACATATGTATGTAGATAAGTAATGTTTTGTCGTAACCACATTGATTGTTGTTATTTTTTTCTTTTAACTACAAACACAACAGTTTGTCAAAACCAAATATTTTTCACTAGCAATCATGAAAATACGACACACAAATGGACATTAATGATTTTGGACAATTGACAACACGCGTTGCAAAAAAAAAAAAAAATAAAAATAAAATATTGCATGACATACATAGGTCAATTGCTTTATACATATATATGTGCATATGTGTATGAGGTTTCGTGCATAGTAAATAGAATGCCAAAGAATACGAAAAAACGGAAAAAAGTAAATTAAAAATTGAAAAAATATATTAAAGAAATTATAAATAATAAAAAAAGTAAAAAAGTAGAAATAATAAATAAAAAACGCCACATCAGCCATTGAGTATTTATGAGCAGTCATTAAATTTTTTTATTTCAAAATTAATTACTATTGATATTTGAGCAATATTTAGAAATTTTTACGGCCCCCCAAAATTGCAGAGATTATATCACTCATACATGCATATTTTCTGTGCATTATCAGTGGACATACATACATATGTACTTTTTCATAGTGATGAAATTTTATTAAAACCTTAGATTAATAATTTTTAGTATATGCTAAATGCATACGTGTGGATCTATATGGATTTCCAATTAGAAAAAGTACACTTCGCCTTATCTTTCAGTTATTAAAATTGCAACAAAAATTAAAAAAAAAATAAATAAATAAAAATAAGACTAATAAATTAAGTTAGATATGACGTAATTAATAAATAATATGTTTAAATAATACATAATTAATTTATTTTGCATAATAAATATGGTTTATAGTATGTGGCAGCTGCACCAGTATAGAGAAAAACATATCGAAAAAGTATGAAATTGTGTTTTTACTGCCGAACCCTGGCACCTAAGGTGAACAACGAATTTCAGCAAAAGAGAACTTAATTTTTTTTTACTATCAAGCTTAATTTATATATTATATTTATGCAACGTACTATTGGAGATTTTCGCAAACATTTGCAAATCCAAAAACAATAACAAAATATTCTCTAATACTTTCTACCCAGACTGGGAACTCATCGTTAGTCAGTGGTTTTAGCGAGTTAGTGTCGCTTATTTAATTTGCTGATATTCAAATACAATAAACTACGCGCCGACGGCGCTGACTTTTGCGCTTACTTTTGCTTTATCAGACACAACATCAATTTATAGGCACGAGTGTGGACTCAATTAGCTAGCCTGTTGTTAAAAATACAATAAAAGTTAAAACGAAGGTAAAAGAAAAGTTGAAAACATTATACAATTTCAAGTAAAAGTGAAAATGTTTACTGCGTCTGACCGGCAGAGGAGATTTAAACAGTTAGCGGGCACTCAGACGCTTGCACTTGGGCATAACGAGAGAGATGCTTGAGAGCGGATGCTTGAAAAAGTGCTTCAATGAATGAATGCCCAATCAATTTAACGACAAATAATTATTTTTAAGCATTAAGTTGACAATAGAAACAAATCTTCCTGTGCTGCTACAGCTGTTTAAGCAACAATTAGAAAATTCCATTATTTTATCTAATGATTTGTTGTTGTTATCACTAGCCAAAAAAAAAATATTTATCAAATAATAACAAAGCGCTTGACAAATTATATTGATTTAATGCATACTTATATACATATAATATATTCATGTCTATCAACCTATCTACTCCCACAACGCGCTCAATCAGCTTTGTCTTCCCCAACTTAATCAACTATCAACGTGCAGTGATCATGTCACATTACAACATACATGGCGCTATAACTATTTTTTTATTAATTTCTAAATCAGGCAAACCGGCGACTGGACAGGCTAGCGTGAGGCTGACAGCCGGCTTGAGGTTGTTAATAATCAGATTATTAGCACGCCTCGACCGCGTGCCTTATCAATAGTTTTGTATGTGCAATTATACAATTCCCACATACATACGAGTACATACTTACATACATACTTATATACATCGTAACTAATAGTAATAATAAAATAGTTTCAAGTTGCCATGATCTCTTTTCGAGGTAATTAGTAGCAAAGTGGCGGCGATTCCCCGTTTGTTTTTTGTTTTGATTATTATTTTTGCGCATGTAAACGAAGATGATAAGTAATGAAAAAATTATAGTTAATAAAATTAAAAAATGTATAACAACTTAAAATGATCACTAAGCCGACTGGGGTTAGTAACAGTAGGAAGCACATGATTATTAATTAATTAAGGAAATGTGAAGCATTTAAGGTGCTCAAGAATACACATTTATAGAGGGTGCTTTTTTAGACGTGTGGCTTTCAAAAAGACAATTCTTTTTTAGAGTCCAATATTCACTGTAGCGCTAAAATTGGAGCTGTGCTCATCCACTGCATTCACAATTTTTTAAATGGCCACCACCGATCCCGATTTTCCAAAGAAAATTTTGTTAAGCGATGAAGCTAGCTTTTTGTTGATTATTCATAATCCATTGCCGCTGCATCTTCAAGAAGCCGGTCACAATGTCGCAACCAATGGGTAACGCTATAGAGCCTTTTTCATACCCGAATCGCGGGCTGTTGGTATAGACGACATTTGGTTCCAACAAGATGGCGCTACATGCCAAACAACCAACGTAACCATCAGTTTATTGAAGGAAACTCTTGGTGAACGCCTAATTTTATTTCGTGGGCCTGTGGTGTGGCCACAGCTGGAAAACTTTTTGTAGTGTTATGCGGCGATAGGCGCTTTGGAAAAGAATATTCGGGTCATTATATCTGACATTTAGTCCCTACTACCACCAAAAGTCGTCGAATATTGGAGCTCTCGGTTGAGGTTTATTCGTGCCGTCGCGGATTTCTGGTCGTTTGGCAGAAATAATTTTTAAAACCTAACGTCAAACTATTTTCTTTATAATGAAGCTTATTTCCTGCCCATTAAAGCCATTAATTTATATTCGTTTTATTTCTTCTTGAAAAACAAATGTCTAAAAGAAACAACCTTTAGATAAAAGGAAAGAGCAAATCTTAAAGAAATCTGCATATCAACCGAATTTTTACATATTTTATGATCTTGATAACACCTTCAACTGATCGACCTACCGATCATCTCAATAAGGGCTTCCCATAACTAAGACAACTAACTGATTGGTCATGTAACGAGCTATAAATTTTACTTTTTGCTTCAGAGAATTGGAACGATCTATTAATGATCTCGTCAAAGTCCACGTTATTTTTCAAACAAAACATTTTTATTATTATTATTTTTTTTTTAGTGCCTTTATTGAGTAACAAATGCCAGTTATTGCATAATTCTCACTTGAAAACCTGTTGCCGAGCGCTTGTCACTCAGGGTGTTATGTAAAAGACAAACACGACGAAGTATATTTCATGGCGATTTTCATGAGCAGTACTTGGATGAATAAACTGATGGTTTTTTTGTTTAATTTTTTGTTCAATATAAGCCAATGGACGCGCATAACTTTTGATCTTGAAAGCTTTTTTCTAGTCGTCAACATTGATGACATTCGTAAGTGTCAAGAGCAGCTGCTAAACGCAAATAATGCCAGCCAAGCGACCGAAAAAGAATAACATAGAGTTCTACATGTACACATAACAATCTAATGGAGATGACGCTGCCTGCTGGCTGTTGACAAATGTGCAAAATTTAGAAGAAAAAAAACGAAAAAAAGTATTGCAAAGTATTTATAGATTGAAAGATTTTGCGGAGGTGCCGCAAAACACATAAATCCAAAGAGTTTAGGGAAAATACTATAAAAAAATTTGCGTTCGGCAGCGTTTGGTAACGAGTTGGACGCTGTACAAGAGCAATATATACGAACCAATGTTTGTACTTTACTGCTAAATCACTTAAAATCTTTGCTAATGCGCTCAAGTTGCTGTTTGAACAGCATTAAATTCGACATTTGTGCTTAGATCACTTTAGTTTACGCTTCGGCAAATATTGAATTCAATTTTTAGCTCTTTTTTTATGCATCTCAGCCATTAATGCTTATTTGCTTATTATTATTTGTGCTTTTTAAATATAATCACAAACTATACCTCGACATTTGACTGGGCGAATTGATCCTGAGCTCACTTTTTAATTTTATGTGACGCATCGCGGCAAGTCTAAGAAGCGGCAAAGCAGGCGCGCTAATCGTGTCAGGGAACTATTTAATTTCGTTTTCTGATTTTGCTTTCAAACAGCGATTGGAATTTAGAATTTTTTCATTCTTTTATTTTATATTTCTGTATGCAATTATTTTTTATATTTATTTTTCTTGAAGATCGCTTGAAACTATTAATTAACTAAATTCTATTCGGCAAATGCTTCGCGAAGGAGTTTTTCCAGCTTTTTAAAGTTATTCTCATTAACTTTACACTTCATATCCTATAAGGATATTTTCACGGTATTCCACTATTTTTCTGATCACTCTACACTATGTAGTCGCTATGCTACCAACTACTCGTTAAACAACTAAACCACACATCACTACTCAAATCGGTTTGCACGATATTTAGGACATTCGTAAATTGTAAATTGTAAATTTTAAATTGCAATAAATCCCGTCGAGCGCGACCTGTTGCCTACACAAATTGACTGAAAATAATTTGAAGTAAGTAATAACGTTCAAACACTTCCATCACTCACCGATGATTGTTCATGTAGTCCGATAGGAAACTGACTGGTGGACTATGGCTAAAGATGGGTGGACTATGTGAAATCATTTTCTCGGCTGCTGATTTAATTATGATTGTTGTCTTATTGGCCGTTGTTGCTGTTGTTGTTATTACTGCTGTTGCTATAGTTGTTGTTGTTTGTTATAGATTATTATTGGCTGTCCACTGATATGATTAGTAGTGGCGTACGTTCGACTGCAAAGAAATTGCTGCTATTGAAGCGTGCTGCGCCTGCGGTTGCCCTTTCTTTATGCTCGCTCGCTCGCTGGCTCGCTGATCGTTATTATGTAGTGTCAGCTGTTGTAGTGATAGTGGCGAATATGATAGTGGTTATCAATAATTGCTATCACTTGAGAAATTGTTCTTCTTTGTTATTGTTGTTGTTGTTGTTGTTGTTGAATATTTACGAAGTTGTGTAAAAGTAAGTATGTCTGTATGTATGTATGAATGTAAGTGCTGAAAGAAGAAGTAGAAAAAATAAGAAGAAGAGAAATACATGAGTTTTATATTGTAAGTGATACGGCATTACGTGCGTACATATGTGTGTATGCTCATATGTACATAAGTATGTACATACGTGTATGTATAAACAAACATTTTACGAGTACTAATTTCGGCGCGTGTTATCGCTGATAGTATTTCTTTTTATAGTCTTAAATAAATACTACAAGGACTGCAAGTCTGAGTTTAAATATATTGATATATTTATGCACATACGTACACATGTACAATACATATATAGGAGTACATATGCAGGTTTGTTTAAAATAACCAAAGTGGCATAAAAGCATCCAAATGCATGACATATCACAACAAATCGTATTTTCGCTACGCTTCTCCTGCTTTTAGGCCCTAATTAAGCGCAACCCTTTCCACTTTACAAATAACCCACGACTGTCTAGGGTGGCTGAAAATTTTCCTGCTGAGTTTAATTAGCGTGAATTGCCACGCATTATTTGTTTTACGCTGCTGGCTTGCTGTCATTGTGTGGTTGCCGCTGGATAATTTTGTTTTTGCCTACTTTCATTTTACTTATGAATATTTTTATAAATAATTTGTTTGCTTAGTGATGCAGTTGTGTGGAATTTCGGCGTTTCATATGACCAATCAGCTTGCTTATCAATTTTGCAGGCGCTTAAAATGCCTTGTGTGGTGGCGTGCTTGTTTTCAAGTACATTAAGTGGCTCAAGTGACGTTCATTATATAGTGATGGTAATGTTAAGATAACTGAATATATAGATGAAAAATAAATTAATTAATTTAAACATTTAAATTTTTATATTATTCTAATTTTTGAACTTAATTAATAGTTATCTGGAAAAATTTAATTGAAATATGAAAATGACATTTTACTGTTTTTAAAGAGGTGCGGTACGACTATTTTATAAAGAAATCTTAATAACAATACTTTATAAAATTCATTAAATTTTCCAACAAAAATTCAGATATTACAACTTGAATTTAAGAAGAAGAAAGATATTGAACCAATACTTTAAAAATAGTACTCTTCAGTGAAATTTCTTATATCATATTATAGAAAGTCACTTAATTTTTTCACAAAATTATATTAAATATCAACGAAACTAGTTTTGTGCATTTTTTCATAACTCTAAAGTTGCTTAGCAAACATGTTTGATCGGCTTTTTATGAAACACGGTTAAAACATTATTTTTATTAATTTAAATTTTTTCAATTAAATTGACATTTAATCTTTTTTATAAAATTCTTAAAGTTTTTTTTTGTTAAAACCTAATCTTGAGTTTAAATCTTTGAAGTTTGACTTTCAACGTAATTTTCATAATATTATAATAAAAACTAAACGCTTTTCAAAAGTTTCAAAAATGAAGCTTATTATGTAAATTATACAATTTAAAAATCAATCACAGCCGCCGATTATTGCTGTCAATGAAATATGTTAATTTGAAAAGCATTTAAAATTTAATTATAATACAATTTTTTATGTTCACTGATCAGCCAGGACAAATCATCTGCGATCATTGGCCAGATCACTTAATTGACAGACAAACTCTTGTATGTTTCCTGAGCTACAGCCACGCGATCGTTAATAATTCCATTAAATACTGATTTTCCAGTTTATTAAACTCATTGGCTATTGAGGTGTTGACGGCTTTCTCATTCGATTTTGCACAATCACGTTGGCATTAAATAATTTATTGAACGTTCACCTGTTCAATTGTGGGGCACTTAAATTATCACATACAAACATACATAGACATAGATTAAGACATTTATTCGACTGGAGCATTGAAATATTCAACTCGTTCGATCGAGCGCTCAAACACCTAAGGCCACGAACGTTTTACGTTAAAAATTCTGTTAGCGCCAGTTAGTTTGGCAAATTGTTGGGCACTTCCGTTTCGCTTAAAAAAGTTTACACACTCTGTCTGTCTGCCGCTTACTGTTGCATGTGTATGTGTAAATATGTGTTTTTTTGCTTCTTATTATTTTGGTAGTTGTTTTTATGACGTCTACGTCATGGGCTAGCATAGCTCATACATACACATACATACGCATACACATCAATTAATATCAGCTGTTTAAAATTGCCTGAATTGTGTTCAGTTGTAGTGTTTAATTGCTCGCTAAGCACAGCTGTCTCTGTTGATAAATGCCCCGCCGCTCGCCCTTCCGCTCGAATCGAAAGTGCTGTGCGGCGCGTGCGGAGGTTATTTATTTATTGTTGAGACTTTTTGCGAATTTCAAGCATTTCTTTGCTAACATTTCATTTCGACTGAGTGTGTGATTCTTTACAGTTACAGTTACCTGTCAAACGTTACCTGACGACAAATCTGTTTGCTTACTCACTTGTACGAGTATTCGCTGGAAGCATTCTGCGATTAGCAATTTTTCATTGTGTCAGGGACGCAGACAGTCAGGGTCGTTCTTAAATTTAAAAGGGTGTGATAACATACATACTTCGTTTGTTTGGCAAAAATTAGTCATGGCGAAACTGATAAGAAATGTTTTCGTTCGCCTTGAGATTAACAAATACTAAAAGTATGCGTGATTGGCTCAGATTATTTATTTTTCAGTTTTTATTTTTATTTTTTAACTATTTTTTTGTTTTTAAATGGTTTTAAAATTTTCATAGTTTTTTATTTTAAATATGCATTTAATGTTTAAATAATTTGTATTCCATTTTCACATTTATCTTTTAATTATTTATTTTATATTGCTCTATTTCATTTATTTATTTAGTTTCTTAAATATTTTTTTCTTTATTTTTAGTGTCTTATTTTTTTAATGGTCATAATTCTTTAATAAAACGTTCATCTTAATGTTTGTATATTCTACTAATCTATTATTGTTGTTGTTTTTTCCAACACCACCCTTGACATATTTCCTTCTGCTTATTTACAATAACAATTTGCAAAAGCAATCGTATAAATTATCATAAACACGGCCGAGGGGATTTTTCTTGCGTTTTTATGGCACACGCGTGTAGCGAATATGCGAATATGCTGATTAATTTTATTTTTCCGCAAGAAAGTCTCTTTTCTTTTATTAATTCATAACAATACATACATACATACATACATACATAGTACATATGTCCATTAAAACTTTGCAGGCACTGAAGGATATTTTAAACATTTATTTTCGCTTTGTGTACAATGCTATAAAAGTGGTTTGTCGGCGCCCAAAAAACTGGCACATCAGCGCCTTCCACATACGTGTATCTATATATAGCGATCACGCTGGCGGACCGTGCTCGTTTGTAAACGAAAAAGGCAACGCGTCTCGGGGAACACAATACGCCAGGCATAAGGCAATGAAATCTTAACAAAAAAGATATAAATGAGAAATCTTCAAGTCTTCAGTGCTCTTTAAATATTGTATCAAAGGTTTCTTTATTTCTGGAAAAACTTGCAGGACTTTTGATGTTTTTTTACTATCGATAACACACACTCAGTCTCGACTTCATATATGTATATATGTAACACCTATATTTTTTTTTGCCATTTTTCTTGGTCTTTTCGCACACGTACCGTATTTTTCTTAAATTTTGTTGTTTCTTGTTTCTTTTGACTGTGGTTAAAATTACTTTTTTATTGTAGTTAACAAAATTTTTTATTATTGTTTTATAATTAATTTAATTATTTTATTCAACGTTGTCGATCTGTTTTGTTGGACGACGTACGTGTATGTGTTTTGTTTTGTTTTGATTTGGACTTAAATTTTTCTCAAAACTACCGTGCGCGGTTACTGCACCAGCGTGTACGTTCGCTTCGGTGTATAGCAGACGAATGTATAGCTGTTTTGCCGGTGACTTGCCAACAAAACTAAACGCCAAACGCTCGCAAATCGACACGATCGACTAATCAACCCTGCATCGAGAGTCAACTAAACCAAGAAACGAGCAAAGGCACCAACCCAACCAACACGGTGGCCGTAACGAGACGATCGACCAGTAATCGCTTGCTATTTTGCCTAAAAGTGTTGTTGTTATTTTATTATTATTGATATTTAGTCCTCACTCATACCCATACTCATTCTCATGTTTTGCTCATGCTCAGGCTCAGTGGGATTACACTCACTCAACACTGTTACAACGCCTCGTCTACCCCCAGAGCTACTGTGGCCTGCACACTTCATAAATATATACTCTCAGCCTTGTTCGTTGATGGGCGGCAAGCGGTCAGATAATAATAAAACAAGCAAGCAACCAATAACGCCTGGTAGGCAGGCAGGCAGGCAGGTAAGGCCACGGTCTGCGCTGCTTTTTTTGCGTATGAATGTTTATGTGAGAGGAGTACATGTGTGAACGTTAAAACTGCACACTGTTCTCGAGTGGAGGAAATAGCAAATAAAATAATTTAGATAAAATAGATTTTCTACAAAACTTTTGCTACGCTTTTCAGCAGTTTGATATGGTGAAAAATGAATGACTTAGACCTCATTGCTCTTTCGCGTTAGCTGTGAACTTTTCGAACAAAATTCAGATCAAATATTTCCGTCACTAGGGTTTGTTGCAGTCTGGCCACGCTGTGAATCCACTTTTCATCGGGTGGACAAACGATTTATCTTTGAAACTTTGTAGATTCATTTGAGGAACACTAACACACCGTTCGATATCTCTTGGTCTGAGTTAATGAGATATAAATCATGCAAATAACTTTTAATCGCTTTGAGAACGAGAATACTCAATTACGGTTTTAAATCATTCCATACACTGAAGCCGTGGGACACGCAATAGCTTTCAACCGCAATGAAATTTCTTATTAAATTCTGAGTTTTGCTTGGGTTTGACTTGAATCTTCGGTTAAAACTCCTTCTTTCGAGCTGCCAATGACTTTTAAGTGCCTTTCAGGTGGGTTCTTAGCACAAACCTCTTCGTGTGCGACATACTTTAATATGTGGTGTGTTCAAGGCTGACTTAAAAATATGAATCTCACCATCAATGAAGTTCCCATAGCTTATCAATATGGTCAGGAATCTGAAAAACAAAAATCTGCCTTTGGCTTTGGGAAACCCTAGGGAACCTTAACAGAATCAGTAGACAACTGCCTCCGAGTGTTGTTATTAGACGGTATTTCAGAAAATATCTGCTGTCAGTTTACTAACATATTGTATATATATACATACATAATATAAATATAAATTAATCGAATTGAAATATATTTTCGATAATTAAAAATGCTGCAAACGTTTAAGGCTGCAACTACCCAACTCACTCTCCAGCCGTCCATAACTGACGACGTTAGTAGTGAAATACATACACGAGCTATCGACGCTGCTGAGAGCGGCGAAATGTTGCCAGCTGCCTGTGTGTTTGCACACTTTTGAACAAATTCATAATTTTCGTCAACGAATTTCATAATTTATTTGCTTTAACATAAACACAAGGCAAATATACATGATCTATATAGTAACAAATAATTAGTTACGCATTTAGTTTTCATTTCTTTTGAACAAAACTACGCATTATTTTCGATTATTTAATGTTACTTTAAGAAAGGCTATACTGGCAACCTTGTATAGCAACGAAAAATGAGCCGAGCCGGTTTTACGGAAAAATCAAAACTTCGTTGGTTTCTGCGACACAAACGTCAGCAACGCTATGGTAAATCGGTGACAACTTTGTGTTTACATGGTGCTCTCATAAGATAGGTTACTATGGACGGCTGGTACGCTCGTTGGGTAGTTGCAGCCTAAGTCCAGTCGTTGATAGTACCGTTAGCCCGTGTAGCTACCGAGATGAGCGGAACCTATTATCTAGCTCCCTGGAAACCACATCTCTGAAGTTCACTAAAGTCCATTCATATCACTCACTTTTCCATGTCCAGAAATATTTACGCTGGCTCAAATTAATAAATATTCTCTTAATTCTTCATGGTTTCCATTTCTAAACTTTTTTTGGAACTGATGGGCAATGACGCAGTTGTTCAGCGGAAGACAATTATAACCGCGTCCTTCCGTGATGTCTCCTGTTTAGGACCGTCGAGACTGTACGTGGTTTCGGACAGCGTTCTTTTGGATTCCCAGTTTATTCATACTTCCACTTTTTTTTATAAATTTTAGAAATTCTTCCATACTTGCAGTTAAGGCCACGCTGAAGAGTAAATCATGTGCGAGAGCTAATGAAGGAAGACCGAAATTTTATTTCCAAACATTTTTTAATCGATTATTAATCGCTAATTACTACCTTTCGGAACACATATTCTGACTAACAACACAACACAAGGGAATAACAATAAATCAAGCGTCAAGTGTCGTTGGCAACTCTGCCTGTCGTGTAAAAATATCAAACGAATTCGTGTATTTAGGTACTGTGTACTCGTTTTGAGGCGGTGTCACTGCTGCGCTTGTTGTTGTTGTTTTGTAATTTGCCGGCAATTGTTGCCGTTGTTGTTGTTGTGCCGCTACTCTACACCGCTAACTGTTGCTGTAAGTAATTTATGAACTGCACTGATTATATACTTTTGTGGTGAGCGTTAACAATTTAAACATATCTTCGGACATTGTTGCTATTTTTATACATACTGTTGTACATATGTACGAGTATTTATATATGTGTAGTAAAATCATATTACGGGTATTGAGTGGCAGCCTCTTCATCTAAAGACATTCTCTACCGACTGCATTTCCTGCTTCATATCAACGAGTGCAACGCGCTCTCTCGCTGAGCAGTGGAGCGAGTGCCGTTCGAGAAATGAGCAAATCAGGTCCTGAAGCTGCGTAAAGTTGCCTTAGCAAACAAAGCCGACAACCGATGTCACACCGACTGCGCGCATAGCCAGTTTACCGCATATTTTGCCGAAAGTGGCCAATTTTCGGAAATTATCTTTTTCTTTTTCATTAAACACCTATCAGTGAGTTGGCTTCTGTTGTTTTGTTTTTGTTATCTCTTTGTTATGTTTGTTTCTTTGCTTTGGTCGAAATATCAACGCCTCCATGCCAGATAGACAATTGCGAGCTGTTGGCCTGTTGAATTTTCCTGCGGCAAACAACAATTTCACGCTTTTCAAAAAGGTAGCCGCCCAAGACTTCGCTCGGAACGTACTTACAGAAGGGAAGTTTAAACTCTCATACAAACGAAAATAATCACTTAATTTATGAAGTTTTGTTGTTATCACTCCCTTTTTAATTTCTCCGTTCGATAAACAAACTAGATTCCTCTAGAAAAGACTCAACGTATAGCGATTAGAAAATGAACAAAATTCGTTGCTTTAATGACCCTTTATCATAAAGTGACATATGTGCATTTCAAAAAAATACATAAAGGGTGTTTTTTAAGACATGTGGCTTCTAATGAGGCAATAGTTTTTTCCAAGTTGGTTTGGCTCGCCATTTCATTATGTACAGATTTTACTCCGGAACAACGATATTCAATATTCGGACGACATAATCGCTCAGCAGAGTCGGTAATTCATGCAAGGATGGATCCGTTTCGCACCACACTGTGGAGCAGAGTATCGAAGAATACCTGAAGGCGCCCATGCGGCGTCGCGCGCAATAATTGGCGCTGTGTCCATTTATGAAAGATTTTGTGGAAGGATCTTGGTTTGCGGGATTACAAAATCCGATTCGCACGTCGCAAGTTCGGTGAATATGCCCAGAATGAAATAGCCGCCGATTCTGATTTTGTTACAATAAGAAAATTTTGTTCAGCGATGAAGCTGAAATTTGGTTGAATGGGTACGTTAATAGACAAATTTGTCGCAATGTCCTCGAAGGCCGTTGATGTGGACGAATATTGATTCAAAAAAGAGGGCGCTTCATGCCGTACAGCCAATGAAAACAAGAAATTTATCGAAGGAAACTTTTGGTGAGCGCGTTAGCTCAAGTCGTAGGCCTGTAAAGATAAGCCCGAGACAATCTACGCCTAGGAAAAGAATATTCGACGCTTTATGGCGGACATCCGGCACCAATTGCTGCAAATATATATATAATTGGCGCTTTGCAACCGCTGAAGCGGTTTTTCGGCCGAGCTCCTCCTCCGATTTGTGGTTTTGAGTCTTGATGTTTTTCCAACAAATGGAGGGACAGTTTACACTAAGTTGCCTCCGAACGAGGAGCCTTTATTTCATGTCCGAAATACACGCGGATGTGTGGACATTCCCTGCCGAGAGGTGACCGCAATTAGAAAATTTAACTTACCCAAAATCCTTGCTAAAATATATTGGCAAAAGTCTCATTTATTTTTGAAAACCCTATGTCTAAAAAATCACCTATTATTTCCCGTTATTAAAAAATATTTCACATTTTTGTATTGAGTTTTGTATTTTAGTTGAAAAAACTAGCTTTGTTTACTAGGCTCCAGTACTTTTTCACAATCAAAGGTTATCTCGCTTTGGCGCTTAATTAGTTTATTAGTGGGATTTGCTTATCAACAACCTAATGTACGTGTACCTTACTTTTGAACGCAGACCGAAGTGGAGAGGAGATTGTGTTCCAAAAGCTAATCATGCTATTTTTAACTGGAAAAATATATATTTGTCTATAAGTTTCGAAATTCTTTGTAAATATATTTTAAAAGTTTAGTACACATTTTTCCTTTTAAAAATTTTTAGTTCAGGAACGTAAGCTTGTGCTGTAGCGCAAGGCCAGAAATGCAGCGGCGTTGGGTTTAAGAGAAGCGTCGCTTAATAAAAATATTTGTTGTAATTGCTATTGTAGATGAATTTAAAATGAGGACGGTTTTTAGCATATAAATAATCACTGAAAGCGTAAAATAATTTTTGAGTTATTTTAGAAGTATTTTATTTATTTTAAATTCTCTCGAAAAGTCAATGAACTTTTCAAATTTGTGTTATCTGAAATTTTCTATAAAAAAATAGTACAAAACTAACACAAAATTTAGAAATAATTATGCTAAGATAGACAAAACCGGAAGTAGCTCACCAAAAAAAAAAAATCCAAAGGGAAG